AGGGTCCCCCCGCGGGGAGATGGGGGCCCCCGCGCGGGGAGATGGGGGGACCCTCGCGGGGAGATGGGGGGCACCCTCACGGGGAGTTGGGGGCACCCTCACGGGGAGATGGGGGGACACCCTCACGGGGGGCACTCGGCCAGCGGGGCAGCCGTTCCCTGAGCCGCTTATTCCCATGTCCGGCCAACCTTGCGTCGGAATCTCCCGCTGGGCTGGAGTGAACCCTCTCCGCGTGCCCGGTTTACAGAACCACGCAGAAGGGGTGCACATGGTTGCCTCTAGCTTACGAAGGGTCTCTGTCTCCCTGCTCTAAGGGACGTGGGGCTGCACGTGTCTTGTTACATCTCGGGCTTTGGGCTCGGCTGCCAAGGAGGTGGTGGCACTCGGGGAGGGTCACATTGAAATGGATCCCTGAGGATGAGGGGGTCGTGAGGGTGGCAGGAGGGCAGGCGCTGCAGGAAGAGGGCACAGCTGGAGGGGACAGTGTGGGGGACCTTAGGAGGTGCCGTCAGGGCTTGGGCCTGGGGAGGAGGCTCTGGGGCAGAGGTCCGTGCAAGCCAAAGCCCCAGCCAGGACATCTCTGCAGGGCTGGAGGGAGGAGAGCTGGGATTCGAGCAGCCTGAGGCCGGGGTGCAGCAGCCATGAGGGCAGGCCAGGAGGGTACGGACCAGTGGCAGGAGACAGGCCAAGGTCGACAAAGGCTGGGGAAGGAGAGGATGAGAGGGGTGTCCGAGGGGACAGGGAGGGGCCGGGGCCGTGCAGACCTTGTGCGGTGACGGCCAGCCGCCCTGCAGGTTTAATGACGAGGTGAAGCACATCAAGGTGGTGGAGAAGGACAACTGGATCCACATCACGGAAGCCAAGAAGTTTGAAAGCCTCTTGGTACGTGGCTCCCCCAGCCCCGGCCCAGCCCCGGAGGACGAGGGCCTGCACTGGCTCCCTGCACTCGCTCCCTGCAGCTCCTGGCCCTGTGAACCCACCACTCTTCCTGAGCAGGAATAGTTTTCCCAGTGTGGAATAGGATGCTCGGGTCCCCGGGGACAGTCAGGGAACCCGAGCATTATCACGCCAGGCTTCTAGAGCCTGTGCCAGGTGGGCTGGCCCCGGATGGTGAGGAGGGCCAGACCCACGTGGCTTCGAACAGCCCCTTCCCGACTCACCCCTCCACTCCTGTCCAGCCGAGTGCAGCCACCCTCCCAGCGGTTCGAGCTGTGCCTGCCCTTTCTTCCCTCGTTGTGAGAGTTGCGTGTCAGGAACAGCCAGCCCGAGCAGGTGGCTCTGCGCTTCCCCACGTGGCCACAGGCGGGCCGGAGCCGACAGGAAGTCCATGAGTCCTGCGAGCTCCCCTGCGTGTCCCTTACGTGTGGTTTTTGTGGGGTCTTCAGAAAGTTCATGTCCTCCGTGGCATGGTGGTTAAGGCACCGGATCCTGCGGGGCCACGTGTGCGTGCGTGCCCCAGATCTTGAGGGGAGACCCCAAGTAAACTCGTACTTACCTTCCGCTCTCCTGGGAAGTACTGCAGCCCCCGTGCACCCCTTCTCAGGAGGAAGCCCTGGCCCCGCAACACCTAGCTCGAACCTGCTTTCCAAGGCAGCGGACACGCGTTGCCGCGTCCCCCGCCTGGAGCCCATCGCTGGGGTGGTCAGTTCTCTCCCCTGGTGTCAGCATGGCCAGGCTCTCCCTGGTGGAGCGTGCGGCAGGCAGCCGTGGCCGCCCAGCGCTCCACCCGGATCCTCTCCTAGGAGTGCCTGGAGAGTGCTCGCTGGCTCTGAGCCTTCACGGTGCTGACCATCCACCATGGCCAGGCGTGGAGGGCAGCTGGGGTTCAGAGTAGCCCTGGTGACCCTGAGCAGATGGGGGTGGCCTGCCTGGAGGCAGCGGCATGGGCAGTGACTGTGTGTCCCGCAGGAGCTGGTGGAGTACTACCAGTGCCATTCGCTCAAGGAGAGCTTCAAGCAGCTGGACACCACCCTCAAGTACCCCTACAAGTCGCGGGAGCGCGCCGCCTCCAGGCCCTCCAGCCGGGCTCCAGGTAACAGCATCCCGCCAGCACCCGCTCGCCCCTTCCCAGGGGACCAGTGCTCGCTGCCCATTGCTCTCATGACCTGCCCTGAGCCCTCCCGACATGCTGGCCCTCACCCTCTGCCCCGTGGTGGGGGACCCCGGCACCGCCTGGCCTGCTCCGACTCAGCTCCCTGGCCCAGAGGCCAGTATAGGGAGGTCGAGGCAGACTCAGCTTGGAGTTGTCCCTGAAGCATCTTCAGACCCCTCCCTGTGCCCAGCCCCAGGGCCTCCGTCAGGATAGGCTGCTCGTTTGCAGAGCGGGGCCTGACCTCCATGTGGCCTCACTAGAGGCAGGAGCATGCCCGAGCATCTGGTGTCTGGCCCAGGACTGTCCTCTGGGTGACCCGCACCCTCTGGCCCCAGGCAGAGCAAGCCAGGAGAGGGATGATGGCACTGCCTGAGTGCCAGGCAAGAGCAGGGGCTCATGTGATGGGAGGGAGCGGTACCCCGAGTCCCTCCAGCTCGCAGTGCCAGGGGCTTGGAGCAGCGCTGCAGTGGCTGAGTTGCCTCTCTGCCCGGTGGGCTGCAGGTGCACCATGCTTCATGCCCTGCCCCGGGCGGCGCACAGCCCTGTCCGCCCTGCTGTGCCGTGCCTGCGGGTGCCCGCTGCCTCTCTCACGCTGCCTCTCACTCTTTGCAGCTTCCTGTGCTTCCTACAGCTTTTCTTTTCTCAGTCCTCAGGGCCTCAGCTTCGCGCCTCAGGGCCCCTCCGCTCCCTTCTGGTCAGGTATCGCCGCTGCCCAGGGCATGGGGGGGCCATGGCACGTCCTCAGCTGCCCACAGCCTGGCGTGGGGTGGGCAGGAGGGCTGGGAGGCTGCTGCTGGCACCTGTGGACACATCATGGCCCGGTGGCCAGTTTCAGCCTTGTCGGCTGTTTCCTTGTCGCTCTGCAAGGGCTTGGCTCAGCAGCGGAAGGTGGGTGGGAGCAGCCAGGGAGGGGCTACTGCGAGACTCGGGCATGGGAGGCAGGCCTGCCATGTCTCCGCTGCTTAAGTCAGAGCCTGTCCCAGCAGCTCTGTGTGCCCCGTATCACAGGCACTGTCACCTGCCCATCAGGACCTTGGTTCTGGGCAGAGCTGGCTTGGGCTCAGAACTGGAGAGCTACCAGCCACAGTGGCCAAAGCACAGGCCCTGTCCCTAAGGGGACCCTTACCGTGGCAGCCACCCAGCACAGGTGCTAGTGTGCCGTGAGCCCGAACCTGAGGGCTGGGCCAGGGCTGGGGACCGAGTGTCCCTCCAGAGTGTCTCTGCTGCACCTCCTTCTGTGGGCACAGGGCCGGCACCAGGGACCAGGGGAGAGACCTAGCTCGGCTGGCACCGAGCCCTGGTGGAGCCCCTGCAGCTTTGTGATGCCCCCTGCACTCCCGACAGTGTTCACGCCCCGGGTCATCGGCACGGCTGTGGCCAGGTACAACTTTGCCGCACGGGACATGCGGGAGCTGTCGCTGCGGGAGGGCGACGTGGTGAAGATCTACAGCCGCATCGGCGGGGGCCCGGGCTGGTGGAAAGGCGAGACCA